AACCAAAGCGTGTCCTCATTCGGCTCAAGCTGCAACTGCACAAAGTGGGTGAACCCCATGTACCAACCATCCCACTTCGAGCACCACTTGTTCAATTCTGGTCTCTTATCTTCCGCGTTGTACATCCCCTTACAATATATCGGTCTCTCCTTGTTGCCTTGCAGCACGTCCAAGAAATCCTGCACCGGTACAAATTGCCCGATCGTGTGGTAGCACTGGGAAAAGCTTTTGTCCCCCATCACACACGTGTCCATCGCCAGAAGCAGCAAAATCCGAGCAACCATCTCGCCAATTTCGCCAACTCCACCGGTGTCTAATGCTTCATCCAAAAGGAGGTTCTTGAGTTGCGGCAGGATATACTTTGCCAGACCATGTTTCAGTTCATACCACACTTTCATCGCTCCTAAGGCGAGCACTGGGTCCGAAGCGTAGCTGGTGACGTAACCTTCTCGCTTGAAATTCACATAGGCGAGAATCGCCATGAAGTCGGCAGTCGCCCGAGATGCCAGAGCCGACGTTGAATGCGGGCGCACGCCCAGACGGCAAAGCATGGAGGCGACACCAAGCATGGTATCCTTGTTGTACGCATTTTGCGACAGTAGCAGCTTGTTCGCCGCAAGATTGATCACATCTTCTCTATCCGCAGGATTGGGGCAAGTGCTGTACCACATCGGACGCCCCATGCGGCACAACGCGTGCCAAGCTTGACTCGCATCCCCGGTAACGATTCTCTTGTACATAGCTATCTGAGCACGTTCTTGCTGTTTCTTTTTCTCTTCGTCTTCAGCTCCCACCGCAACTTGGGTTTCCTCTTTCGTTTCTTCATCTTCATCTTCACCGGCTTGTTTTTCTTCACAGTATTGATCCCAGTGTACGTCCATTGTCTCAGCTAACACAACTGGCGCAAACGATGCCAACTCTCCATCGAAAAGCCGAGATGATGGGTCCAACAACAGCGGAGGCGCCAGGTCCGAGATCCTGGAGTTCGTATCAATCAGCACGCCGAAAATGCATCCACGATGGCCGATATCTTTGTTCACGGATCTGAGAGCATTTCGCAACATTCGGAAGTCATTCTTCTTGCCTCCCTTCTCAGCCAGCAGACTTCTCGCTTCATCGATCACCAGAACCACGATTCTGCCATTTGGATTCTTCTCGGTGGAGGTATCCCCCTCCAGCGTGTCTGTTTCATCCGAAAGTTTCGCCTTTACAGAGGTGTCTGCTGCCTTTTCGGTAAACAGCTTCAGCCATTCCTTCTGAACGTCCGCCCAATGCTTGTTCGCGTAGACGTAAATTGTCTTCAATCGACTGGCGATGTCTTCCACTTCGGAGCCTTCTTGAAACAGCCAACCACGAAGCTCGCTCGTAGCCTTGGGAAACCCCGTCGACTCGTGCACACGGGCACACATGTACAGGACTTTCATGTTCAAGGCGCTCTTTTGAGCCTCAATCGCGAGTTCACGCACCATCCGACTCTTGCCGAAGCCAGAACTCTGCACGACCACCACACATGGCGCCTTGTACTTTGTGGGGGTGTAGGCCTTCCAGCAGTCCCGCAGATACTGTGCGAGGTCGAGGTGGGCTTCGCCGAGGTACCGGCCCTTGGTGAACGCCTCCGCGATTCGCTTCATTTCATTTTCATCCAACTTGGGCGTGCCGGAGCGGGCTTCAGGGACAAACTTTGCCAGGAGGTCTTTCACCGTCTTGGCCGCAATAGTTTGTGCAAGAGGTCGAGACACGCGTGTATGCCCGTATGCTCTTCTGATCTCCACCCGTATCAATCCATGTATCTCTCGCTGGGAGGCCTCGAGTTGGAGTGTGGCTTTGTTGGGATAGTCGACCAGCATCCACGCAACGAAAAGATTTTTCTTTGGCGATGCGTCTGCTCCAAGCTTCCCGCTCATCTGAGCAAAGACACTGTCGTCCACGAACGCGGCCAAAGCCTGGGGATCCAACTGGCTGGACATGTCCATCTGCAGCAGCACAGCAGTACACAGTCAGCAATGCGGCAGTAGTATCATGACGACGTTGGCAAGGGCGCGGGCATGCCTGCTAGTCCCGGTGGGCGGTGGCGCTACAGGACAAGGCTTGGAGGGGAAATGTGGAAATGGCCGGTTGGATTTTTCTTCCCTCAGTTTTGTACCAGAAACACGGTACCGCATCTACGTGATATACAGTGCGCGCCGAAATTATAACCGCACCCCAAAAATTATTTTTTTAAACCAATGATTGTGCTTTCGGCGCCAAACCGCTGCTTATGATTCGTCTAAAATCGATAGAAAACAGATGCAACAATCAGAATCGAAAAAGCTGTAACCGTTTTTTTGCAATGGACGAAAAACCGACTTTGGGTCGGGTCAAAATTATAGCCGCACCCGGTAAGCTATCGGTAAGATTGGTAACAAACTCGTGGAGAGCTGTTTCAAGCGTAATAAATGAACTAACTCCATTGAACAGCTCGAATAACGCCTACCGGTACAGTAAAGTGCGTCGATAAGGAACGCCTGATATACATTGAAAGAAAAAGGTATATTGATAATTAAAGGTTTGACTCGTCACATGCAGACAGCAAATGCACTGATTTACTGCACTATGTAGTTCATGTCGGACTTCGCGACCAGAGTCTCGGCTTGAGCCCACGCAGCCAACTCAGCATAGGTAGCACCCGGTAGATCACGACGGCGATGACAGATTAGCAGCGACTGAAGCTTGGTCAGACGTAGCCGCCTCTGGAACGGTCTGGAAGTGGCGGTCATCATGGGAGTTGTGAGCAGCAGAGCGAAAGTTGGTTAATGAGGCATGCAGACATGTACCTGGCGCGATTCCCGCGCTCACAGCAATCCTCATGCTCATGATTCCCTCTCGCGACCTTTAGGTTCCATTTTCCCCGACTTGGGAGCCGCTCCATCCAGCCGCTCTTGAGGCTCGGTTTCGGAACTGTGATTGGCGGAATGTTAAACGGGACCGAATGATTGGTAGAATCATATAACTAATTCAGTACAATTGGCACACAATGGGTACAAGCGAGGATTCATGTCTTGTCGTAGAATATAAAATGTCGCCCGTTCCTTATCGACGCACTTCACTGTAGTAAGCTGCTCAAATAAGGTTAAGCTGACGCGGTTGATAAGATTCAATGGAGACACGCACTATCTTGAATTTGTATAGAAGAGTGGTGTTTGACAGTGTGGAGAGGTCTATACTCGTAAGTTGAGGCTGTCAGCTGACTAGTGTCTTCATTGGCGTCTATTCAACATGGTAGCGATGCTGGGCTTGCTCAGTTCAGCAACATGTACCAGAAAACTCGATCGATTTTTTTCCGGGTCAATACAAATCCTTTATACTTGATGTTTGTATTGGAAAGCACCGCCAAACCCAGTCACAAATTTCAATCAAGTCTAGTCCCGTACAGTGCGTAGTTTGGTAAATACATGGCTACGTATCAAAAGTAGAGTATTTCTTCTTGAAAATAATGCCCGAGTTTTGCTTCCAGAATCCTCCTAGTGTTGTCTCGGAAGTCCGGCCAAGTTGCCACCAAGTGTTTAGTGCGCTTTATGGTATTAATAAATGTGCGAACACTAACTTCGGCGATGCGGTACATACCATAGGTAAGATACGACCACACGGGCCGCATCGGCCCCAGCCGGGCGGCGTCCTGCGTGCCGGCAAGAAGATCGTCACGCGCGAAAGGACGCATGGAGCCCGTGCCGCCGCGCGCGCTCGAGACGAGCGAGATCCCGGGCATCGTGGCGGACCACCGCACGGCCGCGGAGAACGCCCTCAAAGCGGGCTTCGACGGCGTCGAGCTGCACGCCGCCAACGGCTACTTGCTGGAGCAGTTCCTGCACGACGGCATCAACGACCGCGCCGACCAGTACGGCGGCAGCGTCGAGAACCGCGCGCGCTTCCTGTTCGAGGCACTGGAGGCCATCCTCGAGAGTCTGGACTCGTCCAAGGTGGGCATCCGACTGTCCCCGTTCGGCGGCAGCTTCGGCGACAAGGACTCGGACCCCGTCGCCACCTACACGTACGTGCTGAACAGGCTCAACAACTACGACCTGGCCTACGCGCACCTGATCGAGCCGCGTGGCTACCACGTGCGTGACCCGCTGGCACCCGAGAAGGGCTCGGCGCGGCAGTTCCGCGAGACGTACAAGGGCGTGCTCCTCGCCGCGTCGGGCTTCGACCGGCAGTCGGCCGTGCAGATCGTGGAGGAGGGCGCGGCCGACGCCGTGGCCATCGGCCGCCACTTCATCTCGAACCCGGACCTGGTGCGGCGCTTCCAACTCAACAAGCCCGTGAACGACTACGACACGGACACGTTCTACCTCGGCGACGCGCGCGGGTACACGGACTATAATACCCGTTCCTGCAGGACGAGTAGGTAGAGCAGTAAAGACGACGTAGACAGCAAAAGACGTGCTACTTCCGTAAGAACTGCAAGGTGAAGCGTACTGGAGGTGGCTGCGTACTCTCAAGTAAAACAAATTGTTGGTAGTTAAAACTACCGGTAGTTGCTGCAGGCACCAGGCACGTACTGTTACTGCCTCCGTGTGGGCTTGGGCGTCTTGTTGGATCACTTGGCGCGTTTAGTGGGACGGCTTCTTCACCCTCTTGGTTTTCACGTGCTCGTTTCTTGGATGTTTCCGTCTCGCCACCTTGATCGCCTAGTGGCCCTCACCACTGCCACCAACGTCACTCTCAGCGTCACTCTTCTTCCTTGTCACCCGGCGCGTACGCTAGTGCTTTACGGGCGTTCTGCAACAACTTGTCGCGCGTCGCGGTAAGCGACAACTTTGCATACGAACTAACGTTCTTGTTTCGTTTTTCATCTTCATCGCGATAGTCCAGGTCGCCCTCCACAAGCCCCAGCGGGTCATACTGAGACTCCACCATGTTTGATAGAATGGAAGCCACGCCGTCGCTCAGGAACGGGTAGGTGACCCTGTTGAGTAAACGGAGGCAGATCGTGAAAACAGGCTCCTCCTCTGAGACACTCGACACACTTGAGACGCCAGGATTGCTCTCGATCTTCGCCCGCTTCTTCGCCTGACTCCCGATCGTCTGACTCTCCTCCTTCACCTCAGAGGCGTTGCCTTTCTTCTTGGGCTTAAGATTGTCTTTCATTGTCGTGGCATAGATGAACTTGCCGTCACTCTTCCGACCGCGCACATTCATGTAGATGCGAATGGTATCACGGACATCCGTGGAGCTCAGCGGGTTCGGATCCCCACCAATTTCACCGGTAGATTTCCCCGCTGACGAGTTCCCATCACTGTTCTTTCCGAACACAAACCAGGGGCATAGTTTCTCCGTCGCTGCCCTGGAAAACCCACCATCGACTGGGGAACGATTCTTCACTTGAATCAACATCATCAACACTTCCTGCTCCTCTTGTTCACCCCTCGTTGTCTCCCCACCGACTGGCCTGCTGTTGGATCTCTTCTTAAACATCGGGATCAACAAATCGGCTCCATACTGGTTACGGGGGAAAATACCTGCAGCTTGACGCCCCAGCAAAAACCAAAGCGTGTCCTCATTCGGCTCAAGCTGCAACTGCACAAAGTGGGTGAACCCCATGTACCAACCATCCCACTTCGAGCACCACTTGTTGAATTCTGGTCTCAAATTCTCCTTGCTGATCATCCGCTTGAGATATATCGGCAGCTTTTTCTTGCCTTGTAGCACCTTCAAGAATTGCTGCACCGGTACAAATTGCCCGATCGTGTGGCACCACTGGGAAAAGTCTTTGTCCCCCATCACACACGTGTCCATCGCCAGAAGCAGCAAAATCCGAGCAACCATCTCGCCAATTTCGCCAACTCCACCGGTGTCCAATGCTTCATCCAAAAGGAGGTTCTTGAGTTGCGGCAGGATATACTTTGCCAAACCATGTTTCAGTTCATACCACACTTTCATCGCTCCTAAGGCGAGCACTGGGTCCGAAGCGTAGCTGGTGACGTAACCCTCTCGTTTGAAATTCACATACGCGAGAATCGCCATGAAGTCGGCAGTCGCCCGAGATGCCAGAGCCGACGTTGAATGCGGGCGCACGCCCAGACGGCAAAGCATGGAGGCGACACCAAGCATGGTATCCTTGTTGTACGCATTTTGCGAAGGGGGAATCCCCAGTAGCAGCTTGTTCGCCGCAAGATTGATCACATCTTCTCTATCCGCAGGATTGGGGCAAGTGCTGTACCACATCGGACGCCCCATGCGGCACAACGCGTGCCAAGCTTGACTCGCATCCCCGGTAACGATTCTCTTGTACATAGCTATCTTAGCACGTTCTTGCTGTTTCTTCTTCTCTTCGTCTTTTTCAGCTCCCACCGCAACCTGAGTTTCGTCTTCCATTTCTTCATCTTCTGCTCCCGCATCTAGTATTTCCTCTTTCATTTCTTCATCTACATCTTGGATGTCCTCTTTCATTTCTTCATCTTCGCCGGCTTGTTTTTCTTCACAGTATTGATCCCAGTGTGCGTCCATTGTCTCAGCTAACACCACTGGCGCAAACGATGCCAACTCTCCATCGAAAAGCCGAGATGATGGGTCCAACAACAGCGGAGGCGCCAGGTCCGAGATCCTGGAGTTCGTATCAATCAGCACGCCGAAAATGCATCCACGATGGCCGATATCTTTGTTCACGGATCTGAGAGCATTTCGCAACATTCGGAAGTCATTCTTCTTGTCTGGCTTCTCAGTCAGCAGGCTTCTCGCTTCATCGATCACCAGAACCACGATTCTGCCATTTGGATTCTTCTCGGTGGAGGTATCCCCCTCCAGCGTGTCTGTTTCATCCGAAAGTTTCGCCTTTACAGAGGTGTCCGCTGCCTGTTCGGTAAACAGCTTCAGCCATTCCTTCTGAACGTCCGCCCAATGCTTGTTCGCGTAGACGTAAATTGTCTTCAATCGACTGGCGATGTCTTCCACTTCGGAGCCTTCTTGAAACAGCCAACCACGAAGCTCGCTCGTAGCCTTGGGAAACCCCGTCGACTCGTGCACACGGGCACACATGTACAGGACTTTCATGTTCAAGGCGCTCTTTTGAGCCTCGATCGCGAGCTCACGCATCGCCCGACTCTTGCCGAAGCCAGAACTCTGCACGACCGCCACACATGGCGCCTTGTACTTTGTGGGGGTGTAGGCCTTCCAGCAGTCCCGCAGATACTGTGCGAGGTCGAGGTGGGCTTCGCCGAGGTACCGGCCCTTGGTGAACGCCTCCGCGATTCGCTTCATTTCATTTTCATCCAACTTGGGCGTGCCGGAGCGGGCTTCAGGGACAAACTTTGCCAGGAGGTCTTTCACCGTCTTGGCCGCAATAGTTTGTGCAAGAGGTCGAGACACGCGTGTATGCCCGTATGCTCTTCTGATCTCCACCTGTATCAATCCATGTATCTGGATCTGGGAGGCCTCGAGTTGGAGTGTGGCTTTGTTGGGATAGTCTTCCAGCATCCACGTAACGAAAAGATTTTTCTTCGGCGATGCGTCTGCTCCAAGCTTCCCGCTCATCTGAGCAAAGACACTGTCGTCCACGAACGCGGCCAAAGCCTGGGGATCCAACTGGCTGGACATGTCCATCTGCAGCAGCACAGCAGTGGCGCTACAGGACAAGGCTTGGAGGGGAAATGTGGAAATGGCCGGTTGGATTTTTCTTCCCTCAGTTTTGTACCAGAAACACGGTACCGCATCTACGTGATATACAGTGCGCGCCGAAATTATAACCGCACCCCAAAAATTATTTTTTTAAACCAATGATTGTGCTTTCGGCGCCAAACCGCTGCTTATGATTCGTCTAAAATCGATAGAAAACAGATGCAACAATCAGAATCGAAAAAGCTGTAACCGTTTTTTTGCAATGGACGAAAAACCGACTTTGGGTCGGGTCAAAATTATAGCCGCACCCGGTAAGCTATCGGTAAGATTGGTAACAAACTCGTGGAGAGCTGTTCCAAGCGTAATAAATGAACTAACTCCATTGAACAGCTCGAATAACGCCTACCGGTACAGTAAAGTGCGTCGATAAGGAACGCCTGATATACATTGAAAGAAAAAGGTATATTGATAATTAAAGGTTTGACTCGTCACATGCAGACAGCAAATGCACTGATTTACTGCACTATGTAGTTCATGTCGGACTTCGCGACCAGAGTCTCGGCTTGAGCCCACGCAGCCAACTCAGCATAGGTAGCACCCGGTAGATCACGACGGCGATGACAGATTAGCAGCGACTGAAGCTTGGTCAGACGTAGCCACCTCTGGAACGGTCTGGAAGTGGCGGTCACCATGGGAGTTGTGAGCAGCAGAGCGAAAGTTGGTTAATGAGGCATGCAGACATGTACCTGGCGCGATTCCCGCGCTCACAGCGATCCTCATGCTCATGATTCCCTCTCGCGACCTTTAGGTTCCATTTCCCCCGACTTGGGAGCCGCTCCATCCAGCCGCTCTTGAGGCTCGGTTTCGGAACTGTGATTGGCGGAATGTTAAACGGGACCGAATGATTGGTAGAATCATATAACTAATTCAGTACAATTGGCACACAATGGGTACAAGCGAGGATTCATGTCTTGTCGTAGAATATAAAATGTCGCCCGTTCCTTATCGACGCACTTCACTGTAGTAAGCTGCTCAAATAAGGTTAAGCTGACGCGGTTGATAAGATTCAATGGAGACAAGCACTATCTTGAATTTGTATAGAAGAGTGGTGTTTGACAGTGTGGAGAGGTCTATACTCGTAAGTTGAGGCTGTCAGCTGACTAGTGTCTTCATTGGCGTCTATTCAACATGGTAGCGATGCTGGGCTTGCTCAGTTCAGCAACATGTACCAGAAAACTCGATCGATTTTTTTCCGGGTCAATACAAATCCTTTATACTTGATGTTTGTATTGGAAAGCACCGCCAAACCCAGTCACAAATTTCAATCAAGTCTAGTCCCGTACAGTGCGTAGTTTGGTAAATACATGGCTACGTATCAAAAGTAGAGTATTTCTTCCTGAAAATAATGCCCGAGTTGCTTCCAGAATCCTCCTAGTGTTGTCTCGGAAGTCCGGCCAAGTTGCCACCAAGTGTTTAGTGCGCTTTATGGTATTAATAAATGTGCGAACAATAACTTCGGCGATGCGGTACATACCATAGGTAAGATACGACCACACGGGCCGCATCGGCCCCAGCCGGGCGGCGTCCTGCGCGCCGGCAAGAAGATCGTCACGCGCGAAGGACGCATGGAGCCCGTGCCGCCGCGCGCGCTCGAGACGAGCGAGATCCCGGGCATCGTGGCGGACCACCGCACGGCCGCGGAGAACGCCCTCAAAGCGGGCTTCGACGGCGTCGAGCTGCACGCCGCCAACGGCTACTTGCTGGAGCAGTTCCTGCACGACGGCATCAACGACCGCGCCGACCAGTACGGCGGCAGCGTCGAGAACCGCGCGCGCTTCCTGTTCGAGGCACTGGAGGCCATCCTCGAGAGTCTGGACTCGTCCAAGGTGGGCATCCGACTGTCCCCGTTCGGCGGCAGCTTCGGCGACAAGGACTCGGACCCCGTCGCCACCTACACGTACGTGCTGAACAGGCTCAACAACTACGACCTGGCCTACGCGCACCTGATCGAGCCGCGTGGCTACCACGTGCGCAACCCGCTGGCACCCGAGAAGGGCTCGGCGCGGCAGTTCCGCGAGACGTACAAGGGCGTGCTCCTCGCCGCGTCGGGCTTCGACCGTGCAGATCGTGGAGGAGGGCGCGGCCGACGCCGTGGCCATCGGCCGCCACTTCATCTCGAACCCGGACCTGGTGCGGCGCTTCCAACTCAACAAGCCCGTGAACGACTACGACACGGACACGTTCTACCTCGGCGACGCGCGCGGGTACACGGACTATAATACCCGTTCCTGCAGGACGAGTAGGTAGAGCAGTAAAGACGACGTAGACAGCAAAAGACGTGCTACTTCCGTAAGACTGCAAGGTGAAGCGTACTGGAGGTGGCTGCGTACTCTCAAGTAAAACAAATTGTTGGTAGTTAAAACTACCGGTAGTTGCTGCAGGCACCAGGCACGTACTGTTACTGCCTCCGTGTGGGCTTGGGCGTCTTGTTGGATCACTTGGCGCGTTTAGTGGGACGGCTTCTTCACCCTCTTGGTTTTCACGTGCTCGTTTCTTGGATGTTTCCGTCTCGCCACCTTGATCGCCTAGTGGCCCTCACCACTGCCACCAACGTCACTCTCAGCGTCACTCTTCTTCCTTGTCACCCGGCGCGTACGCTAGTGCTTTACGGGCGTTCTGCAACAACTTGTCGCGCGTCGCGGTAAGCGACAACTTTGCATACGAACTAACGTTCTTGTTTCGTTTTTCATCTTCATCGCGATAGTCCAGGTCGCCCTCCACAAGCCCCAGCGGGTCATACTGAGACTCCACCATGTTTGATAGAATGGAAGCCACGTCCTCGCTCAGGAACGGGTAGGTGACCCTGTTGAGCAAACGGAGGCAGATCGTGAAAACAGGATCCTCCTCCGAGACACTCGACACACTTGAGACGCCAGGATTGCTCTCGATCTTCGCCCGCTTCTTCGCCTGACTCTCCTCCTTCACCTCAGAGGCGTTGCCTTTCTTCTTGGGCTTAAGATTGTCTTTCATTGTCGTGGCATAGATGAACTTGCCGTCACGCGTTCTACCGCGCACATTCATGTAGATGCGAATGGTATCACGGACATCCGTGGAGCTCAGCGGGTTCGGATCCCTACCAATTGCACCGGTAGATTTCCCCGCTGACGAGTTCCCATCACTGTTCTTTCCGAACACAAACCAGGGGCATAGTTTCTCCGTCGCTGCCCTGGAAAACCCACCATCGACTGGGGAACGATTCTTCACTTGAATCAACATCATCAACACTTCCTGCTCCTCTTGTTCACCCCTCGTTGTCTCCCCACCGACTGGCCTGCTGGTGGATCTCTTCTTAAACATCGGGATCAACAAATCGGCTCCATACTGGTTACGGGGGAAAATACCTGCAGCTTGACGCCCCAGCAAAAACCAAAGCGTGTCCTCATTCGGCTCAAGCTGCAACTGCACAAAGTGGGTGAACCCCATGTACCAACCATCCCACTTCGAGCACCACTTGTTGAATTCTGGTCTCAAATTCTCCTTGCTGATCATCCGCTTGAGATATATCGGCAGCTTTTTCTTGCCTTGTAGCACCTTCAAGAATTGCTGCACCGGTACAAATTGCCCGATCGTGTGGCAGCACTGGGAAAAGTCTTTGTCCCCCATCACACACGTGTCCATCGCCAGAAGCAGCAAAATCCGAGCAACCATCTCGCCAATTTCGCCAACTCCACCGGTGTCCAATGCTTCATCCAAAAGGAGGTTCTTGAGTTGCGGCAGGATATACTTTGCCAAACCATGTTTCAGTTCATACCACACTTTCATCGCTCCTAAGGCGAGCACTGGGTCCGAAGCGTAGCTGGTGACGTAACCTTCTCGCTTGAAATTCACATAGGCGAGAATCGCCATGAAGTCGGCAGTCGCCCGAGATGCCAGAGCCGACGTTGAATGCGGGCGCACGCCCAGACGGCAAAGCATGGAGGCGACACCAAGCATGGTATCCTTGTTGTACGCATTTTGCGAAGGGGGAATCCCCAGTAGCAGCTTGTTCGCCGCAAGATTGATCACATCTTCTCTATCCGCAGGATTGGGGCAAGTGCTGTACCACATCGGACGCCCCATGCGGCACAACGCGTGCCAAGCTTGACTCGCATCCCCGGTAACGATTCTCTTGTACATAGCTATCTTAGCACGTTCTTGCTGTTTCTTCTTCTCTTCGTCTTTTTCAGCTCCCACCGCAACCTGACTTTCCTCTTCCATTTCTTCATCTTCTGCTCCCGCATCTAGTATTTCCTCTTTCATTTCTTCATCTACATCTTGGATGTCCTCTTTCATTTCTTCATCTTCGCCGGCTTGTTTTTCTTCACAGTATTGATCCCAATGTGCGTCCATTGTCTCAGCTAACACAACTGGCGCAAACGATGCCAACTCTCCATCGAAAAGCCGAGATGATGGGTCCAACAACAGCGGAGGCGCCAGGTCCGAGATCCTGGAGTTCGTATCAATCAGCACGCCGAAAATGCATCCACGATGGCCGATATCTTTGTTCACGGATCTGAGAGCATTTCGCAACATTCGGAAGTCATTCTTCTTGCCTCCCTTCTCAGTCAGCAGGCTTCTCGCTTCATCGATCACCAGAACCACGATTCTGCCATTTGGATTCTTCTCGGTGGAGGTATCCCCCTCCAGCGTGTCTGTTTCATCCGAAAGTTTCGCCTTTACAGAGGTGTCTGCTGCCTTTTCGGTAAACAGCTTCAGCCATTCCTTCTGAACGTCCGCCCAATGCTTGTTCGCGTAGACGTAAATTGTCTTCAATCGACTGGCGATGTCTTCCACTTCGGAGCCTTCTTGAAACAGCCAACCACGAAGCTCGCTCGTAGCCTTGGGAAACCCCGTCGACTCGTGCACACGGGCACACATGTACAGGACTTTCATGTTCAAGGCGCTCTTTTGAGCCTCAATCGCGAGTTCACGCACCATCCGACTCTTGCCGAAGCCAGAACTCTGCACGACCGCCACACATGGCGCCTTGTACTTTGTGGGGGTGTAGGCCTTCCAGCAGTCCCGCAGATACTGTGCGAGGTCGAGGTGGGCTTCGCCGAGGTACCGGCCCTTGGTGAACGCCTCCGCGATTCGCTCCATTTCATTTTCATCCAACTTGGGCGTGCCGGAGCGGGCTTCAGGGACAAACTTTGCCAGGAGGTCTTTCACCGTCTTGGCCGCAATAGTTTGTGCAAGAGGTCGAGACACGCGTGTACGCCCGTATGCTTCACTGATCTTCACCCATATGAATCCATGTATCTGGTTCTGGGAGGCCTCGAGTTGGAGTGTGGCTTTGTTGGAATAGTCGACCAGTATCCACGCATCGAGAAGATTTTTCTTCGGCGATGCGTCTGCTCCAAGCTTCCCGCTCATCTGAGCAAAGACACTGTCGTCCACGAACGCGGCCAAAGCCTGGGGATCCAACTGGCTGGACATGTCCATCTGCAGCAGCACAGCAGTACACAGTCAGCAATGCGGCAGTAGTATCATGACGACGTTGGCAAGGGCGCGGGCATGCCTGCTAGTCCCGGTGGGCGGTGGCGCTACAGGACAAGGCTTGGAGGGGAAATGTGGAAATGGCCGGTTGGATTTTTCTTCCCTCAGTTTTGTACCAGAAACACGGTACCGCATCTACGTGATATACAGTGCGCGCCGAAATTATAACCGCACCCCAAAAATTATTTTTTTAAACCAATGATTGTGCTTTCGGCGCCAAACCGCTGCTTATGATTCGTCTAAAATCGATAGAAAACAGATGCAACAATCAGAATCGAAAAAGCTGTAACCGTTTTTTTGCAATGGACGAAAAACCGACTTTGGGTCGGGTCAAAATTACAGCCGCACCCGGTAAGCTATCGGTAAGATTGGTAACAAACTCGTGGAGAGCTGTTTCAAGCGTAATAAATGAACTAACTCCATTGAACAGCTCGAATAACGCCTACCGGTACAGTAAAGTGCGTCGATAAGGAACGCCTGGTATACATTGAAAGAAAAAGGTATATTGATAATTAAAGGTTTGACTCGTCACATGCAGACAGCAAATGCACTGATTTACTGCAATATGTAGTTCATGTCGGACTTCGCGACCAGAGTCTCGGCTTGAGCCCACGCAGCCAACTCAGCATAGGTAGCACCCGGTAGATCACGACGGCGATGACAGATTAGCAGCGACTGAAGCTTGGTCAGACGTAGCCACCTCTGGAACGGTCTGGAAGTGGCGGTCACCATGGGAGTTGTGAGCAGCAGAGCGAAAGTTGGTTAATGAGGCATGCAGACATGTACCTGGCGGATTCCCGCGCTCACAGCGATCTCATGCTCATGATTCCCTCTCGCGACCTTTAGGTTCCATTTCCCCCGACTTGGGAGCCGCTCCATCCAGCCGCTCTTGAGGCTCGGTTTCGGAACTGTGATTGGCGGAATGTTAAACGGGACCGAATGATTGGTAGAATCATATAACTAATTCAGTACAATTGGCACACAATGGGTACAAGCGAGGATTCATGTCTTGTCGTAGAATATAAAATGTCGCCCGTTCCTTATCGACGCACTTCACTGTAGTAAGCTGCTCAAATAAGGTTAAGCTGACGCGGTTGATAAGATTCAATGGAGACACGCACTATCTTGAATTTGTATAGAAGAGTAGTGTGGAGAGGTCTATACTCGTAAGTTGAGGCTGTCAGCTGACTAGTGTCTTCATTGGCGTCTATTCAACATGGTAGCGATGCTGGGCTTGCTCAGTTCAGCAACATGTACCAGAAAACTCGATCGATTTTTTTCCGGGTCAATACAAATCCTTTATACTTGATGTTTGTATTGGAAAGCACCGCCAAACCCAGTCACAAATTTCAATCAAGTCTAGTCCCGTACAGTGCGTAGTTTGGTAAATACATGGCTACGTATCAAAAGTAGAGTATTTCTTCTTGAAAATAATGCCCGAGTTTTGCTTCCAGAATCCTCCTAGTGTTGTCTCGGAAGTCCGGCCAAATTGCCACCAAGTGTTTAGTGCGCTTTATGGTATTAATAAATGTGCGAACAAATAACTTCGGCGATGCGGTACATACCATAGGTAAGATACGACCACACGGGCCGCATCGGCCCCAGCCGGGCGGCGTCCTGCCCGTGTCGTCCAGCTCCAAGCTCGAGAACATCCGCGCCGGCAAGAAGATCGTCACGCGCGAAGGACGCATGGAGCCCGTGCCGACGCGCGCGCTCGAGACGAGCGAGATCCCGGGCATCGTGGCGGACTACCGCTCGGCCGCGGAGAACGCCATCAGCGCGGGCTTCGACGGCGTCGAGCTGCACGCCGCCAACGGCTACTTGCTGGAGCAGTTCCTGCACGACGGCATCAACGACCGCACCGACCAGTACGGCGGCAGCGTCGAGAACCGCGCGCGCTTCCTGTTCGAGGCACTGGAGGCCATCCTCGAGAGTCTGGACTCGTCCAAGGTGGGCATCCGACTGTCCCCGTTCGGCGGCAGCTTCGGCGACAAGGACTCGGACCCCGTCGCCACCTACACGTACGTGCTGAACAGGCTCAACAACTACGACCTGGCCTACGCGCACCTGATCGAGCCGCGTGGCTACCACGTGCGTGACCCGCTGGCACCCGAGAAGGGCTCGGCGCGGCAGTTCCGCGAGACGTACAAGGGCGTGCTCCTCGCCGCGTCGGGCTTCGACCGGCAGTCGGCCGTGCAGATCGTGGAGGAGGGCGCGGCCGACGCCGTGGCCATCGGCCGCCACTTCATCTCGAACCCGGACCTGGTGCGGCGCTTCCAACTCAACAAGCCCGTGAACGACTACGACACGGACACGTTCTACCTCGGCGACGCGCGCGGGTACACGGACTATAATACCCGTTCCTGCAGGACGAGTAGGTAGAGCAGTAAAGACGACGTAGACAGCAAAAGACGTGCTACTTCCGTAAGACTGCAAGGTGAAGCGTACTGGAGGTGGCTGCGTACTCTCAAGTAAAACAAATTGTTGGTAGTTAAAACTACCGGTAGTTGCTGCAGGCACCAGGCACGTACTGTTACTGCCTCCGTGTGGGCTTGGGCGTCTTGTTGGATCACTTGGCGCGTTTAGTGGGACGGCTTCTTCATCCTCTTGGTTTTCACGTGCTCGTTTCTTGGATGTTTCCGTCTCGCCACCTTGATCGCCTAGTGGCCCTCACCACTGCCACCAACGTCACTCTCAGCGTCACTCTTCTTCCTTGTCACCCGGCGCGTACGCTAGTGCTTTACGGGCGTTCTGCAACAACTTGTCGCGCGTCGCGGTAAGCGACAACTTTGCATACGAACTAACGTCCTTGTTTCGTTTTTCATCTTCATCGCGATAGTCCAGGTCGCCCTCCACAAGCCCCAGCGGGTCATACTGAGACTCCACCATGTTTGATAGCATGGAAGCCACGCCGTCGCTCAGGAACGGGTAGGTGACCCTGTTGAGTAAACGGAGGCAGATCGTGAAAACAGGATCCTCCTCCGAGACACTCGACACACTTGAGACGCCAGGATTGCTCTCGATCTTCGCCCGCTTCTTCGCCTGACTCCCGATCGTCTGACTCTCCTCCTTCACCTCAGAGGCGTTGCCTTTCTTCTTGGGCTTAAGATTGTCTTTCATTGTCGTGGCATAGATGAACTTGCCGTCACTCTTCCGACCGCGCACATTCATGTAGATGCGAATGGTATCACGGACATCCGTGGAGCTCAGCGGGTTCGGATCCCCACCAATTTCACCGGTAGATTTCCCCGCTGACGAGTTCCCATCACTGTTCTTTCCGAACACAAACCAGGGGCATAGTTTCTCCGTCGCTGCCCTGGAAAACCCACCATCGACTGGGGAACGATTCTTCACTTGAATCAACATCATCAACACCTCATGCTCCTCTTGTTCACCCCTCGTAGTCTCCCCACCGACTGGCCTGCTGTTGGATCTCTTCTTAAACATCGGGATCAACAAATCGGCTCCATACTGGTTACGGGGGAAAATACCTGCAGCCTGACGTCCCAGCAAAAACCAAAGCGTGTCCTCATTCGGCTCGAGCTGCAACTGCACAAAGTGGGTGAACCCCACGTACCAACCATCCCACTTCGAGCACCACTCGTTGAATTCTGGTCTCTTATCTTCCGCGTTGTACATCCCCTTACAATATATCGACATCTCCTCGTGGCCTGTTAGCACGTTCAAGAAATCCTGCACCGGTACAAATTGCCCGATCGTATGGTAGCACTGGGAAAAATCTTTGTCCCCCATAACACACTTGTCCATCGCTAGAAGCAGCAGAATGCGAGCAACCATCTCGCCAATTTCGCCAACTCCACCAGTGTCCAACGCTTCATCCAAAAGGAAGTTCTTGAGTTGCGGCAGGATATACTTTGCCAGACCATATTTCAGTTCATACCACACTTTCATCGCTCCTAAGGCGAGCACTGGGTCCGAAGCGTAGCTGGTGACGTAACCCTCTCGTTTGAAGTTCACATACGCGAGAATCGCCATGAAGTCAGCGGGGGCCCGAGATGCCAAAGCCGACGTCGAATGCGGTCGAACACCCAGTCGACAAAGCATGGAGGCGACACCAAACATGGTATCCTTGTTGTACGCATTTTGCGAAGGGGGAATCCCCAGTAGCAGTTTATTCGCCGCGAGATCAATCACGCGAACTTTATGAGCTGGATCGGGGTAAGTGCTGTACCACATCGGGCGGCCCATGCGCCTCAACGCGTGCCAAGCTTGACTCGCATCCCCGGTAACGATTCTCTTGTACATAGCTATCTTAGCACGTTCTTGCTGTTTCTTCTTCTCTTCGTCTTTTTCAGCTCCCACCGCAACCTGAGTTTCCTCTTCCATTTCTTCATCTTCTGCTCCCGCATCTAGTATTTCCTCTTTCATTTCTTCATCTACATCTTGGATGTCCTCTTTCATTTCTTCATCTTCGCCGGCTTGTTTTTCTTCACAGTATTGATCCCAGTGTGCGTCCATTGTCTCAGCTAACACAACTGGCGCAAACGATGCCAACTCTCCATCGAAAAGCCGAGATGATGGGTCCAACAACAGCGGAGGCGCCAGGTCCGAGATCCTGGAGTTCGTATCAATCAGCACGCCGAAAATGCATCCACGATGGCCGATATCTTTGTTCACGGATCTGAGAGCATTTCGCAACATTCGGAAGTCATTCTTCTTGCCTCCCTTCTCAGCCAGCAGACTTCTCGCTTCATCGATCACCAGAACCACGATTCTGCCATTTGGATTCTTCTCGGTGGAGGTATCCCCCTCCAGCGTGTCTGTTTCATCCGAAAGTTTCGCCTTTACAGAGGTGTCCGCTGCCTGTTCGGTAAACAGCTTCAGCCATTCCTTCTGAACGTCCGCCCAATGCTTGTTCGCGTAGACGTAAATTGTCTTCAATCGACTGGCGATGTCTTCCACTTCGGAGCCTTCTTGAAACAGCCAACCACGAAGCTCGCTCGTAGCCTTGGGAAACCCCGTCGACTCGTGCACACGGGCACACATGTACAGCACTTTCATGTTCAAGGCGCTCTTTTGAGCCTCAATCGCGAGTTCACGCACCATCCGACTCTTGCCGAAGCCAGAACTCTGCACGACCGCCACACATGGCGCCTTGTACTTTGTGGGGGTGTAGGCCTTCCAGCAGTCCCGCAGATACTGTGCGAGGTCGAGGTGGGCTTCGCCGAGGTACCGGCCCTTGGTGAACGCCTCCGCGATTCGCTTCATTTCATTTTCATCCAACTTGGGCGTGCCGGAGCGGGCTTCAGGGACAAACTTTGCCAGGAGGTCTTTCACCGTCTTGGCCGCAATAGTTTGTGCAAGAGGTCGAGACACGCGTGTACGCCCGTATGCTTCTCTGATCTTCACCTGTATCAATCCATGTATCTGGATCTGGGAGGCCTCGAGTTGGAGTGTGGCTTCGTTGGGATAGTTGTCCAGCATCCACGCATCGAGAAGATTTTTCTTCGGCGATGCGTCTGCTCCAAGCTTCCCGCTCATCTGAGCAAAGACACTGTCGTCCACGAACGCGGCCAAAGCCTGGGGATCCAACTGGCTGGACATGTCCATCTGCAGCAGCACAGCAGTACACAGTCAGCAATGCGGCAGTAGTATCATGACGACGTTGGCAAGGGCGCGGGCATGCCTGCTAGTCCCGGTGGGCGGTGGCGCTACAGGACAAGGCTTGGAGGGGAAATGTGGAAATGGCCGGTTGGATTTTTCTTCCCTCAGTTTTGTACCAGAAACACGGTACCGCATCTACGTGATATACAGTGCGCGCCGAAATTATAACCGCACCCCAAAAATTATTTTTTTAAACCAATGATTGTGCTTTCGGCGCCAAACCGCTGCTTATGATTCGTCTAAAAACGATAGAAAACAGATGCAACAATCAGAATCGAAAAAGCTGTAACCGTTTTTTTGCAATGGACGAAAAACCGACTTTGGGTCGGGTCAAAATTATAGCCGCACCCGGTAAGCTATCGGTAAGATTGGTGGAGAGCTGTTTCAAGCGTAATAAATGAACTAACTCCATTGAACAGCTCGAATAACGCCTACCGGTACAGTAAAGTGCGTCGATAAGGAACGCCTGATATACATTGAAAGAAAAAGGTATATTGATAATTAAAGGTTTGACTCGTCACATGCAGACAGCAAATGCACTGATTTACTGCACTATGTAGTTCATGTCGGACTTCGCGACCAGAGTCTCGGCTTGAGCCCACGCAGCCAACTCAGCATAGGTAGCACCCGGTAGATCATGACGGCGATGACAGATTAGCAGCGACTGAAGCTTGGTCAGACGTAGCCGCCTCTGGAACGGTCTGGAAGTGGCGGTCACCATGGGAGTTGTGAGCAGCAGAGCGAAAGTTGGTTAATGAGGCATGCAGACATGTACCTGGCGCGATTCCCGCGCTCACAGCGATCCTCATGCTCATGATTCCCTCTCGCGACCTTTAGGTTCCATTTCCCCCGACTTGGGAGCCGCTCCATCCAGCCGCTCTTGAGGCTCGGTTTCGGAACTGTGATTGGCGGAATGTTAAACGGGACCGAATGATTGGTAGAATCATATAACTAATTCAGTAGAATTGGCACACAATGGGTACAAGCGAGGATTCATGTCTTGTCGTAGAATATAAAATGTCGCCCGTTCCTTATCGACGCACTTCACTGTAGTAAGCTGCTCAAATAAGGTTAAGCTGACGCGGTTGATAAGATTCAATGGAGACACGCACTATCTTGAATTTGTATAGAAGAGTGGTGTTTGACAGTGTGGAGAGGTCTATACTCGTAAGTTGAGGCTGTCAGCTGACTAGTGTCTTCATTGGCGTCTATTCAACATGGTAGCGATGCTGGGCTTGCTCAGTTCAGCAACATGTACCAGAAAACTCGATCGATTTTTTTCCGGGTCAATACAAATCCTTTATACTTGATGTTTGTATTGGAAAGCACCGCCAAACCCAGTCACAAATTTCAATCAAGTCTAGTCAGTCCCGTACAGTGCGTAGTTTGGTAAATACATGGCTACGTATCAAAAGTAGAGTATTTCTTCTTGAAAATAATGCCCGAGTTTTGCTTCCAGAATCCTCCTAGTGTTGTCTCGGAAGTCCGGCCAAATTGCCACCAAGTGTTTAGTGCGCTTTATGGTATTAATAAATGTGCGAACAATAACTTCGGCGATGCGGTACATACCATAGGTAAGATACGACCACACGGGCCGCATCGGCCCCAGCCGGGCGGCGTCCTGCCCGTGTCGTCCAGCTCCAAGCTCGAGAACATCCGCGCCGGCAAGAA